AAAAAAGCATGTTACACAGAGAAAAAATACATATACAATACATATTCCTTATACATGAGAGGGTTACAAAAAAAATTGTACCTGTACCAGGTCAAACAAGAAACACGAATTCCAAAATAATCACGGCAGCAAGTCAAAAAATGCAAAAATGACCCCTCGCTCACATGTAATGATAATAAGCATGTGTTTCTCCTATTTTCATGGTTATGTTAATATTCTTTTTCAGACATTGGCATCACTACTGGATATGCAGTGGAACTTGCCTGTGTCAGAAAATTGTCAACTTTAAGGGCTTGTTGTAATAAAGGAGTTCAATAAAGTAAGAAACTCAATCGACTTAAGTAGTCCTATTGGTGGGCTGGTTGTTAGGTTGGGTCTATTGTATTTTAGACATGTTGACAGTCAATGTAGCTATGAAAGGCTAAGAAAAACATGGAAAGTTAATTGAACTCACCATGCTCGTCTTGTCCCATCATAACCCAATCAAGTAACATTTCCAAAAGAGTTCATTAGTTTAAATGAATCAATAACATTAATCAAAATACTTTTATAAACTCTCTTTTTATTATCATAATTTAAATAATTACACCTCAGTGGATAATGGGCAAGCCATTCTGGAAAAAATCCACTGCAGCATTTATTGTCTAAGAATCATTAGGTAGATATACATATATTAAGAACATATAGATTTCCTAGTTAGAAGTAGAAACCCTTTTGAAAGAACCTATTGCATGATCAGCAACCAGCATGCTACAATTATTTTTGCATCTAAAGCCCCAGTATACAAGAGTGCTTGAGCCCACAAATATTGACCCAGACTATATCATTTGGACCAGGTATGAACTGGAGTTTTGTTCCAGTCTATTCAGGCCAATTTAATATTAGAACCTGAAATAAGTCACGGAATCTAGAGCAAAAATTGTACTGTTAATTTCCTCAAAAATGGGCTAATCAGTAGTCTTGGTTTTTAGATATAATATATATTTTTGTTTGGTTCTCCTACATGAGGACGGACCATACCCATTTGGACTAAAGGCAAAACAAGTTTCCAATGAAATTAAACATAAATTAGCATCGTGTCTGTTAACAAACTGTAATAATGAGTGCATTTCTGCTCTGGTCCGTAATCATGCATCACTTATAGCAATGGCCAAAGCTCTCGAGTGACCACCTCAGGGATTTGGAAACAGTTGTGCTTGTTAGCTGGAGCTGGTCGCTTAGGAGAATAAAACCTTGTCTTACTGACCAGTCTCTGAAAAGATACAGGTTGGTTGCCTACAAGAGTTTCCAACATTCCAAAGAGATAACAAAATAACAGTGTTTGGATGTCTCTAATACAGTATACAGTTCTAATTTTCCATATCTTGCCCTTATTTTCTGTGAGCAAATATTCAACAAGCAAAGCTGAGTCGACTATTGCTCATAGAATACAAGAGCAAATAGTTATACTATTCCAATGAAAATGAGAGCAGTGCATATCTTTAATGCATTGCTGAATGACTGGAATTAGAGTTTGCAGAAGGTCACCTCCTGGAGCAAATACCGGAATTTAGAGAAGGGGATTTGATGTACGGACTGCTGAGGGTGGTCCTCTGGAGGGGGTTCCAGAGGCATCCTCCCATTGGAATTTTTTAAAATTAAAGTCCTTGGAAATGGGATTTCTGGCATTCTGGGACCAAGTTGACCAGTGTGTTATAATTAATGTCTCTCTTTTTTAATTTAGACCCCCTAGATCTGCCCCAGACCTACTTAAAACAATTTAGAAGTCCAGTTTGTAAATATTTTGATCCAAAGGTAATCACAGTCACTACAGGGATGGCCCAACAACATCATTTCATTACAAAGTTTTACTAAGAACATACATTGTCGACAGCGTTTAGTGATCCCTGAGCTGGTTGTTTAGGAAAGTAGTCGCAGGAAGAGCTTCAAATATATCATTTTAAAACAATGAGGGTGCTTTCCATTATGCCAAAGATTCCACAAAATTCCAGTCGGAAGTCAAATGGAAAGGTCCATTTCGTTTCTTACAACCTGAATATTCAGGATCACCTCTGGAGGTGTTCCACTTATTTTGGTCAGAATATTCCGACCGAAATTTGCTGTTCCATTTTTGACAAACCAGTTCATTGTCCTACTTCTCTTCACTTATGTAGGGAATTCGGAAAAGGAATAAAAATGGTAAGAGCCATTCCTTTTGGTTGGCTCATTTGATCGGAAAATGTCATTCCATTTTCCTCGGGTATTCCCACTGGTCTCTGACCAGTCGGTTTGGCATAATGGAAAGCACCTTGAATTTCTTATTCACTGAGGTACAGAATAATAAATATATTATAACCAAGCTACTGTAGGTTCTGTGATATACAGCTGTACCAGTGGTGGTCTCCAAGGAGAGCTGGTTGTTTAGGAGATCACTAATAATATATTTCTTATTAAGTCAAAAAAATAATAAATTTTAAAATAGTCTTTATCTTAAACAGAAGGAACCTTAATATATGTAATAATTTACCTATTGTGTACACCCTATTAAATGATTTTACATACTTAGATCAAATACCCTTTGAGGAAAGAAGTGCAGCCTTGAAATATTTTCTATTATATATTAATACAACACCTGGATTATAATTGTTCACCAAAAGAGCCATATTTAGCATAAATGAGTACAACTTACATTACTTGTATCAACAACTTACATGACTTGTATCTACATTTCTAGAGCTCATACTTCCTTGTGGGAAGTATTTTCCCTGTGTTTAAAGAGTTATTATTCATGTATCTACAGCGTCTCAAGTATTTGACGATCAATATTTACAGAACGAATTCTTGTAGCTTGATGCACACTTCCAATAATAAATTAAGTTGCTGCGGACTACGTACACTAATAAACTTCCTCACAGGAAACTTGCCAACAAGAAAAACGAGCATGATCCAGAGATTACCATGTGCAGTATGAGTTCTACATCACCTCTAAGTAAAATTTAACATCAAATCTACCATCTTCATAAAGATATTTCTTTTGTACGGGGAAAATCAGACATACTTCTCACTCGCCTTGGTTCAGGTAGATCTTGAAGCTCAAGGTCTGTCACTGGGTACACTCTGCCTGAAGCATGGTTTGTTAACGTTCTTAGCTGTGACATACTCCTCGTTAACCATCTAAACGTCGAATCTTGGCTTTTAGTCGATCTTTCTAGCAAATGTTTCTCAATTATACTCCGCATCACTTGAGATAACTCTTTAACATCCCGTGGTATACCTTCGACGATGTTTCTGAATTCAGATATCACGTCTCCGCTATCCTCAGGTCGAACTTTCGATGCTAACTCCTCTAGCGCAAGTCGCTCCATTTGAGGAATTTCAAACGATTTTTGAGGAGCAGATATAAGCCATGTATAATCAGCTATGTTCGCCATCCTCTTCTTTTCTTGTTCAACCTCGCGGTTTATTCTCTCCACCTCTTTTATTTGACATTCCAGCTCCATCATCAACGCTTCACAAACTACATCGCTTTCGGCTTTTGCTGGCGGTGAATCTCTCGCTTTCAACTTGAGCCCAAGACTTGTTAAAGACACCATTAATTTACTGTTCGTTTCCAGGTACAAGTTTTCTGTTTAGTTAGTGTT